GTATTTGACATTGATTAGATTTTTTTTCACCTTTCGTGAGGCAGGGCTTTAAAAATAAATGTAGATGTTTTTACGCGTCCATTGATGCAATTTAGATTAATGAGGAGGAGGGCATATGACCCTGCCTGTCAGAGCCAACTCGGGCTGAGAGGGGTACACTATTTCAGTAGAAAGACTGAGATAGCTGATAAAAATTTCTCCCCACTCGGGAATCAAACTCAGGTCTCCTGCATGTGACAGCGAAGTGCCTAACCACATGGAACCCGGAGAAGAGTCACAGATATTGATGTACAGAAAAAGGGGAAGACATGGAATAACGTCAAGGGGCTAGCCCACGATAGGGAGAGGTAGAAAGTGTTTGTTGGTGGCCTATGCCTGGATCCAGGGTGAGGAAGGCATTAAATAATAATAATAGTACTACTACTACTACTACTACTACTACTACTACTACTACTACTACTACTACTACTACTATGAAAAATAATAATAATAAATAGCATTAGTATAGCACATATTCCCACTTGACAGCAAGTTCTATGATTATGATGATGATGACAAGCTGCTAAAATTTTACTGGATACTTTGCTTCCTTCCAGTCTATATCTAGTCTGCATTTATTTCAGACTCCAGCCTCAAGAACAAATGAAGAGAAAAAACCTTTGATTGAAGAACTGCTGTCAGAGACTGACACAGCTCAAGGAAGTGGACTGAAGGGTAAGAAAATATCGCAGCTCATTTTGCTTTCTTTTTTGTACGAGGTCATTGTATTGCACTGTGTGAGGGCCAGAACATAAACTCTCAGTGAATAGCCTTGTGAATAGTTAGTAAATGCTACCTAGGGGAAGTTATGGATGGACTTATCATGTATAATTTAAAAAATCATTCGCATGCGGTTTTCAACTAGTGACCTCACGCTTCGAGGTGTCGATTAAGTTTTATTTTGACAAAATTGCTGAGCACCACTATGTGCATGTTCACCATGTGCATGCTAGACTGTAATGAGTCTTCATCAACTTATCCTTCATGTTCCTCTGTGGTTCTTTCTCTCTTTTTCTCTCTCTCTCCAACAGCACAGTCGTCCTTTGGTAAGGAGCTGACCCAGGCTTTTGAGGAGCTGAATGACCCTCTGTTGCCAGTCAAAGGTCATGGCCTGATCCGTCTGGCGGGGATGGTGGAGGGCAGACACCCAGAGGTCACGGACAGACAGGAGCTGTTGGTGAAGGTAGTCCCTGGGTTGTTGGAGGGTGCTCTACTGTGGTTAGCGCCTTTTTTCATCAAACATCAATCATACTTATCTTTCCTAATCGGCTACTTGTACGGTATGCTTCCTGGGAAGCTGAGAATATTTCTGAGTTGTATTCTAAGGTCTGCTGGGATGATAATAGTTGTAAAGCTCATAGAGCATGTTGTAGAGCGTGGATATGTTCTGTAGAAATGCTGTTATTATAATTATTTCATCATTATTATTATCATTATTTTATGGTTATGGTTTGCTCCTTTCCTCCTATCAAACATCAGTCGTCCTTATCTCTCCTTTTCTGTGTATGTTTCTCTCAAGTAAAGCCTCTAATCTTCAGTACCTATATGATTTGTGTTAAAAACTTAACCAAAAGAAGGTAGTCCCATTGTGACGAATTTGCTGTAAGATAAGATGATGTAGCGAAATATTGCGGGTACAAGTCCCAGTCCTCTTATCATATCTTTATCGTGATGTCCATCTTTGCTGTTGTCTGTGGTAAACTGAAGTCAGATATAACATCATTTCTGTTGTCGTTTGCTCGCTTCTTTCAGCAAGTCGGAGCAGTGATGGGCACAATCTATCTTCCGTTTGATGCCTATACCAAAGCCTAACTACACATTTATTTGTGGAATTTTCTCTCCTCAGGTGTTTTTAGAACATTTAGGCCACTCAGACTCATACATTTACCTGGCGGCTGTGAATGGGTTGGCCGCACTTGCTGATCTCTGTCCCGACCAGGTCATCCCGCGGCTGTGCTCCGAGTTTAGGTCAAAGTGCATGATCTCTGAGGTCGCATCCCCGGAGGTCACCCTCAAGACGGGAGAGGCTCTGGTCAAAGCTGTCCGGCGACTGGGTGAGGCCAAGTCGATCTTTTTTCTTTTCTTTTTAAAAAAAAATGTTGATGATTTCAATTTAGGTCATTTAGGAGGTGGGCTTCCGACCCTGTCTCAGGGCCAACCAACATGGACTGAGAAGGATACAAAATCCCTGCTGAAGGACTGAGATACTCGATAAAAATTTTCTTTCTATACGAGAATTGTACTCAGGTCTTTTGCATGCGACAGCAAAGTTCCTTTCTGCTACACCACAGAGATTGGTGTCCAAGTTGTGACTGTACAAAGGTTTTAGTTACTTTTGGGGGACTCCAAATTCGGACATTTCAAAGATTTAAATTACTTTTGGGTTATTTAAAAGTTCTATCCGACATTACAAAAATTTAAGTTACTTTTGGGTGACTTTAAGTTCTGACATTACAAAGATTTAATCCAACTTTTGACAGAACAAAGATTTAGATTACTTTTGGGTGAGTCCCAAGTTGCAAGCGGGCGGGACTGAATTTAGAAAAAGTTGAAAAAGAAAAGTTTGATATTCTCGTTGGTTTCTGCCTCAGGTGAGTTGACCCTGGTGTATCGTGAGCCTCTGCTGCCCACCATGCTGTGTGGCTGTCGTCATGACGACGCGCTGGTGCGGGCCAGCAGTCTGTCTGGTTTGGCGGACACGTGCAGGCTTCTGCGGTTTGCTGTCGGTCCTGTCCTGCAGGAGGTAGGCTCATGGTTATGATAGATATTGCCGTAAGCTGACAAAACGCCTTTTTTTATTTTGGCACAGAAATTTTTAATTTGCTTATTGGACAGCCTGATCAGTTGCCCTACTTGTGTGAAAAAGTCAAACTGAAACTGTGACAAGTTTTTTAATACAATTTCGGAATGACTCTATTTTTAAATGACTACGCTGACCCCAAAAAAACTAATTTTCTCGAAACTGCTCTGGAGAAGAAAAAAAGGCATTTTGTCAGCTTACGCCAGATTAACTGCTGTGTGCAGGGGGTAGTTTCGTGGTTATGATAGATGAGCTGCTGTGCGCAAGAGGTAGGCTCAACGGTTATTGCAGATTAACTGCTGTGTGCGTGGGTGGTCTAGTGGTTAGACACTCAGACTCGCTTTGTAAGGTCATGGGTTCGAATCCTGTCAGGGGCCTGATGTTGTGTCCTTGGGAGAGGCACTTTACACAAATTTTCCACAATTCACCCAGGTGGGAATGGGTACCCAGCAATAGACAGTGAAAGATCTTGTCAGTTTGTTATTGTTAGTGTTTGAGGGCTTCATAACCTGCTTGCGCTGTATGCTTTCTGGGAAGCTGAGAATGTTTCTGAGTGTTCTATGGTTTTCTGGGGTAATGATATCGTGTAAAGCGCATAGAGCTTGCTGTTGAGCAGGATATGCGCTATACAAATGCTATTTATCTATTATTGTTATTATTAGGCTTGTGAGTATGATAGATTAGCTGCTGCAGTTTGTTAGAGTTGTATTTTCTTGTAGCATCAGAGTTACCTGTTATCTGTTTGTTTGCTAAGAGTTTTATGGGGCTCGCGACTGTGCAAGGTCATATGAGCGCGCTTTCCTGTTTTTTGTATGTTGAAAATATTTTAATAATATATTGGCAGCAAGTCGGTAGTGGATTATTTATTGCTACAGAAACTAATAGAAGAAAGGAACGGACTGACATAGACGGAAAACGACTTGGAAACGTTAAAGGATTACAAGAAAGGATTTGCACTCAAAACATCTGTGGCCTGAAAGACCAAGAACCAGAACTTATTACCTTCATGAAAAGGTGGCGAATACCAATACTTGGACTGTCTGATTGCTGTTTGAAAGGAAGCGGGACCAAGAAAATATATGAAAATTACATACTTATATGAAGTGGAGTAAATATGAGAGAGAGAGCCAATCATGGTGTGGGATTCATAATGTAATACAACCTGACATGGCAGAAAGAGTTATATAAAAAGAAATAATATCAGGAAGGATCTTGAAAATCAGAATATAAAAAAAGCCCCAAAAATTGAAACAATCATCCAAGTTTACGCCCCATGTAACGACACATACGCAAGAGAAGTTAAAGAGGATATTTTTCAGAAGTTGGCGAACACCACAGACGGCGTACCTGATGAGGAGGAACTATCATAATGGGAGACTTCTATGGATACATAGGCCCAAGAAGGACACCATGGGAAAACTACCTTGGACCACACGGTGACACCAGTTCAGATTGTAACTATAATGGGGAACAAGTATTAGCTCTCTGTGCAGAGTATGAATTATACATCACAAATACTTTTTACCAGTACAGGCCAAGTCAGACTCAGTCGTGGTACAAATGGAATAACCTAGCAGGGCAAGTCAGACTCAGTCGTGGTATAAATGGAACAACCTAGAAATTTCTTCACAGATTGACTTCATGCTGAGACAAATTGCCCAGAGAACAACACCAACGGATGCAAGGTCTATCCCAAACATCACCTTTGATACAGATCACCAGTGATTATGACAAGTAAAGAGAAAAAAAACACCACACGAAAACAGAAGAAGAAACATTTTGAGAAAATTAATTTACGAAAATCAATGAAGAGGGCAATGTGCAGAAAGTTGAGGACGAGATCACAAAGAGACAAGAAAACCAAGACATCAGTGCAATGAGCGTTGAAGAAACATGGACCCTCTTAAAATTTTTTTAAAACAGAAACACTGATACTGATATAAGTATGTGGAAAGAAGACAATTGGAAGAGGATCTATTAAAGGAACACCATGGTGGAATGACAGTGTCAGAGAGGCCATCAAAGAAAAGAAGAAACTTTTCCAGAAGTGTATAAAATCCAAGGACGAAAACGACTACACGCAATACAGACTAGCAAGAAGGAACTGCAAAAGAGTTGTTAGAGAATCAAAAAATGAATCATGGACAAAATATGGAGAACACCTAAGCGAACTGTGCCATAAATCAACACGTGACTTTAACAGAAATATAAAATCAATGAGGCTCAGAGAAGAACCGTACGGCCCAACAGCTAGAATTAATGACAAAACAGGAAACCCCATTACTGACAGCTCCAAAATCAAATCTAGATGGAGGGAATATTTCTCAGAACTTTTGAACACTACTCAGCAAACAAACAAAGAATTCCAACTAAGTCACCTAGAGGAAGTAGTACCAACCATCCAGACCCAGAGCAACTTATGTGGAAAGCCTATAGAGTGAAATTCTCGCAGCTTAAGGGATTTGAAAACAACAACAACAACAACATGTGGAAAGCCTATACAGATGGGTGACAAGGGAAGAGCGGCGAAAAAGTTTTTCTTTTTTTTTAGAGCATCTGCTGAGTAAAAGAATGAATGGTGAACCATGATCACCGATGTCTGTCGCAGATCTGGCATTTAATGATGATGATGAGATGATGACGGTGATTGATGATCATTGATGATGATGATGATGATGATGATGAATGTTTGCAGATACTGACTTGCTGTCGGGATGTGATGGCGTCTGACCCTCACCCTGAACCTCGCAAAGCTGCCACCATGACCTTGACCCTGCTGCTTCAAGGACTCGGAAAGGACTCTCTGCTGGTGAGGGAAATGTGACTTGTGACTCATGTTGTCTATTGCTGATTTTTTTGGTTTAGTAAATGTTTTACGGCACTTGCAACACAATAAGGCCATATAAGTGACGGAGATTAGAGGTGTTACAAGAGAGTGACAGACACAAAAAAGAAGAAGGAGAGATAGAGATGACAAATGTTGGATAGGAAAGAAGAAACAAACCACACCAGAGCACCCACCAACCACCCACTGCTGATTTTGCGTCACTCCTTTCTGTTGGCAAATGTTCTTCTTGCCCATGTTATTGAGCCCCTGTACCATTATTGTCAGCTTTTATTTTTTGTCTTCATATTGAAATTTTTACGAATTAAAGTGATATACAATTTATATTCTGTGTATATTTACATGTGTTTTTACCATGATCCTGTAAAGCGAAAAAAAATTTTCTGCGGCGTCGGTAAAGTATTATCTTATCTTATCCTGTCTTGTCTCATCTTGTCTCATCTAGTCTTATTTTATATGCCTTGAGAATAAAGTCCTTTGTCTCATCTGTGTTTTCTTGATGTCATTTTCCAAGTAGAGAATTTGTATCAGACATCTGACTCCAATGCAGCTTGTAAGCATTGCCACCCCCTACCCCCTCCCCATTTATACAATTTTGCGGTTACACATAACGATTTGTCATATAACCGATAGATCATATAATATTTGTACAATTCATCGATTCCTGATACTGGGCCTGAAGACAAAGACTTCTTTCTCATTTTGCCCTGTCCCATCTCTCCGCAGGCCCTGAGTGACGTGATGCGGGATGTGTACCGCGTGCTGAAGCACAGCCTGACCTCTGACCCCGACGAGCAGGTCAAGGTCCACGCCAACTTGGCCCTGGCAGAGCTGGATGACATCATGCGGGAAGTTCTGTTTGCCCCACCCGAGCTCAGGAAGAAGATCACCATCCTGGGCTATCAGTGACTCCATTTTGTCGCACTCAAATCTGCTTGATGAATTTTCCTTTCGTTTTGAACGGATAACTGGCTCCGCTAGTGCCCCTCCCTCGTCTCCCCTCCTCAACCCATTTTCTCCCCCCACCTTCTCCGCCCCTCCCTTTCTCCATCCCCCCCCCCCCAAAGGCAACTACAATGTTCTCTGTTCAAGTCTGTGTTGTTGACGAGTATCGCAAAGACCTTAATGTTTTGAACTCACAAACTCATTTCTGCATATTTCTTGAAGTTGAAGACGGTCTACTACAAGATGACGGTTACTGCTTTGGGTCTGTAGTAAAAAGGAGAGCATTTTTTCTTTGACACTACAGTTGTTAATTTCTCACGCCATTGCTGAACATGAGGTTCCATTGTATTTTGTCATTTTAAAAAATGATTATAAATAAATAAATTATACTTTATTGATCCTCGTAGGAAAATTTAGGTTACAATGGCAAACATACATACGCGAATACATAATTAAACATACAAGTGTACACATACAAAGAATACCAAACACCAATATTACATTTTACACTTATTCAGACAATTTAACAACCATGCCATTGTTGGTCGCCACTGTGCAGGGCCCTGTGTTTTGTGTGTGTGCTGTTTTTGTCTTGTTGCTGCAGAATATCCAGGCAAAATGTTATAACCGTGTAAAAAATAAACGTGAGTCAAAATTGTAGACAGTTGACTTTGCTTTGACTTTCTTTTTTTTTTTTTTTCAAATACTAAAGTATGACCCATTGGATGCTATTGTTCATAATCTTGCTGTCTTTTATCTCTTCCGTGTTCGACGTTTGGTGAAATTAGATCACAAATGAAATTCACTATGTATTCATAGAGGTCTAAAGGAAAAAAACCAAAACCTTTAATGTAGATTTTTTTACACCCCC